TTTTTGTATAAAAAACGTCATTTTTCTACCCCCATTTGATCCCCCGGGGCAAAATCAAAATTCCGAAACCTTACTGCACATCTACATGACACCCCCAACCATCTCCCAAAGGATGATTAAGCTACTGTGAAAAATGTAGGAGGAGTTCAGGGAAGAAAAGTGTGACAGACGGACGGACGGACGGACGGACATGAGTAACAACAATATACCCGAACTTTCTTTCGAAAGTGCGGGTATAAATACACACATGGCACCATCAAGCCTGACAAATTTCATGACTGTAACAAAAAATAACTAGATATCATTGAGATGGTGGCCATCTCAAAGGGCCCCGCATTCAACAATGAACATTTAAATGTAAGGTTATTTAAAAGGGATTATTTTGAAGAGGAACATTTGTGTTATACAGTAAAAGTGATTTAGTACGACTTGATGGATACTGCAAATTTACTTATATTTATCTTAGTTTTCCTGTATCCCGAGTTATATAAATTTACTGGAATTAAAAGGCAAAAAATTATGCACCAAACAAAGATTTTAAACAGAAAGGGTATTTCTGTCCATGACCTAGAAACTTTGACCAAGGTCACTGCACATCCATTGACCAGTGGATCTCTATTAGTGAAGTAATAGCCAGATTGGGCCAACAAGAGAGAAGATATACTCCGAACTAAGATTTTTCATATAATTCTGCTATGACCTTGACCTTTGACCTAGAAACCTGGTTCAAGTTCACTGCACTCTGGTTACCCATAGGCTCTCTGTGGGTGAAGTATGAGGACGTTTGGGCCAAGGAGAGAGAAGATATGCTCCGGACAAGGATTTTTCATATATTTCAGCTATGACCTTGACCTTTGACCTAGAAAACTGGTTCAAGGTCACTGCACACCTAGTACCCTAAGGCACTCTGTGGGTGAAGTTTGGGCCAGATTGGGCCAAGGAGAGAGAAGATATGCTTCGAACAAGGATTTTTCATATAATTCATCTATGACCTTGACCTTTGACCTAAAAACCTGATTCAAGGTCACTGCACACCAGTTACCCAAATGCACTCTGTGGGTGAAGTGTGAGCCAGATTTGGCCAAGGAGAGAGAAGATATGCTCCAGACAAGGATTTTTCATATAATTCAGCTATGACCTTGACCTTTGACCTAGAAACCTGGTTCAAGTTCACTGCACACCGGTTACCCATAGGCACTCTGCGGGTGAATTATGAGCCAGATTGGGCCAAGGAGAGAGAAGATATGCTCCGGACAAGGATTTTTCATATAATTCAGTTATGACCTTGACCTTTGACCTAGAAACCTGGTTTAAGGTCACTGCACACCGGTTACCCAAAGGCACTCTGTGGGTGAAGTATGAGCCAGATTGGGCCAAGGAGAGAGAAGATATGCCCCGGACAAGAGATCTCGGACGGACGGACTGATCACTATAGTGCGCCCGGACGGACAGCCGGACGGACGGACGGACAGACGGACAGACTGATCACTATAGGGCGCCCGCCAAGCGGGGCCCTAATAATTCTGTTTTGGATAGCTGGTATAAATTTCTGTAAATTGAATATCATATTAGAATTTCTAATTAATTGAAATATAAATAAAAACTAGATACTCTTGTTGCTACAGCAACAAATAAGGTCTTCCGTTCTTCTCTATTTATCTGTAAGAAGGATACTTTTCTATTTAAAAAAAAATAAATAAAGGACAAAATGCAAAAAAAGAAAAAAAGAGGAATCCTCGATCTAGGCTCGATCCCAATACCATTAGAATGAAAGTCGGACACGCTAACCACTGAACCATCGAGTTCGACAACAAAAAAGGTATTTTGTAAACTTATCATTTTAAGGTTGAAGGAAGTAGTTTCATAGTACTCATTCTTTAAAATATATTTATGGGATAGTATGATACTCAATAAATAACTCATAACCGGAAGTTGCTGTTTTTTTTTCTTTTGGGACGGACATATATTGGAACAACAATTAAGATGCAATAGTGTAATACCAAGAAGTATTCCTAAAAGAAAAGTTAAAATTCATGATTTCTTTGATCTTTTCCTGTGATGACCAGAAGTGACGGCAGACAATTTTATCTTAATTGTTTTTGCCAAATCATCAAGATTAACCACTTTATTAATTTTGGTGTCTTAATCTCTCAACGTTTACGAGATCTAGCTATGATAACATCTCATTTTGAGGACAGGAAATCACGCGACCGGAAGTGAGTTTTACAAAAATTTCTTGACGCAGTCTAAAAAGCATATCCAAAAATCATTACAAATACTTTATAAATAAATGATATTTATTGGAAAGAAAAATACTGAAATTATGTAGTTTCCCTTTTAACCGGAAGTTGTCTCTTTTTGTTTCTAGTGGTACTGAAATAATTGAAAACAACAAATAAAATGCTATACTGTGAGGCTAAAACAGTTTCATAAAAGAAAAATTGAAAATTTCGATTTTTTGGATCACTTCCTGTGACAACCGGAAGTGACGGCGGACGATCTTATCACGACTGATTTTGCTTACTTATCAAGATCTATCACTCTAGATAAGTTTGGTGTCTTTATCTTTTACCGTTTACGAGATCTAGCTATGATAACTTCTCATTTTTAGGACCGGAAATCACGCGACCGGAAGTGAGTTTTACAAAGATATTTGACGTTACTGTAGACATTTGCACTCTGAATAACATATTTAAAAGTCATTTCAAATACATTACGCATAAAAAATATTTATGGGAGAGAAAAATACTGAAAATATGCATTTTTTCTCTTATAACCGGAAGTTGTCGTTTTTGTTTCCGGTGGGACTAATATATTTCGAAACTACAAACAAAATGTTATAACGCAATGCAAAAAATTTTTAAAAAATAAAAAGTTTTAATTTTCGATTTCTTTGATCACTTCCTGTGACAACCGGAAGTTACGGCGGACGATGTTAACCCAATTGGTTTTGCCTACTTGTCAAAATCTATTACTCATATAAGTTTGTTGTCTTCATCTCTCACCGTTTCTGAGATATGACTCGGACAAAACTTTTTTGAAAAAAGCGAAAATCGGACATATCTGACGACCAGAAGTAGATTTTGAAAAACTGAAAACTACATTTGAAAGATATTTTTATTTTCTATCATCCCTGAAAATTTCATGAGAATCTGTCCAGTCATCTCTGAGAAATCGTCAAAATAAGAAATTACAAAAGGGGAAAAAAATAATAATAAAAAGAAACAGTAGAATCACTATAAGGTCTTCCGTCTGAAACGGAAGACCTTAAAAATGTTTCTAGAAACAGGACATTACACAAGTTTACAGTATCAATATATTTTTAGCCTTTGAAAAAAAAATGATTTTAAAGTTTTACAAATTCAATTTTTCACTAAATTCTGTCCTAGCTGGTAAAAAAATAAGTTGTTTATATATATGTAGCTAAATGCCCCATCTTTAGTGAGAGAGGCACCTATTTTAGCAAAAGTATTTCAATTTTGGAAAGAAAAACACTTTTTCATTTTGTGATAAATTAACCCTTGAGTTTTATTGATAAGTGATATCAATATTATAAAGAGCCATAGCTGCCTTCCCGACGACTCGGCCTACACAAGTATTTAAAAGGAAATCACCTGTTACTATTTATAGATACATGTACCTTTTCAAATCAAAATCAATCCACATGTATCTAATCATTTGTGAACCAGTGTTATATTTTCATTGTTGCAAGTTTGTTGCATGACAGTAATTTTACCTGTTCAATACTCTTATTCTAAACAAGATTGTTTGAAAATTTTAAAAATAAAACAGTCTATCAGCTATGACTTTGGTTCATTAAAATAGTTTGAGACTGTTTTCCCTTAAGATACTTTCAATGTGTAGTGTTGTATATTATATATCTCTTTTAAAAATTATTTATACATGTATGTATTTTAAAATAATAAAAGAAAACACAGGAAAATCCACACAGAGAAAAAAAAAAGTTATTAAGTAATGACACGCATTGAGAGACTCGAACTCGTGAACATTATGTCTTCATTCCAGCAATCATACCACTATGCCACGAAGTCTTGGTTATCCAAGTGCCAAAATTAAGACAGATTGTTGAATTTTGAAATAATTTTAGAAGAAAAATTAAATACGTATTTTTAACATTTTCAAAATGAAGACCACCTTTAACCAAAATAGTCTAAACGTAATGAAGTTCAGTCATATCCAAATAAAATTATTCAGAAGTTGTTTTTCTGGTTAAGGGTGGTCTTTTCCTAGAGTTTGTCATTGTTTAGTTGGGTACCTCAGTATTTACTATATTCTCCATATAAACTGAACGATTTTTATAACTATCACAAGAGGAAAATATTAATAATTGAGTATTATTTTTCGGTGAGTTGCTTTAAGACATGTATAAACTAACATTGTATGACAAAACTTTGGTTAAACAATGTACACTGTATTAAAAAATTACTACTAGTGTAGGCGAAAGTGACTATCAAATGCGCTATGGCTCTTTAAAAAAAAAATCATTTCATATATATAATTATTTAATTTCACGACAAAATGTCGCGAATTTAGAGCTTTGAAAATTGTCGTCACGCGCTAAATCCCCCATGGATATTTTCAAAAGTTGGCATGTATGGATTTGTTTTCAGTTGTCTGTCTCTCTTACCGTCCACCTGCCACGACACATGTTTTTTAATCCTAAAAGAGCTGTGAAAGGCAGCAGTATAATATTTAATTTTTCGTAAAACACCAAGAATACAAACCTGCAACTTTAAATCTGACTTTTGGCAAACATTTCAGAATCCCACCTTAATTGTGCTGATATGCAATATTATTTAATATTTAAGAGAAAATTGGTTAATAATAATCACGTATAACTGTGAAAAGTTATTTTATCCATTGGATTATTTTGAAAATAATTTTAATACTCAGAATAGATGTTTACTGTTGAAATTAAGAAGCATCACTGTCAGTCTTGTAAACTAAGAAGCATTATTGTTAAATGAGAATTAGCATACCTTTGCAAGACCATGTTGAAAAGACAGAGCCCTCACGGTCATCTAGTTCACTATCAATCATATCATCAAAGGCTTTACTCATGTCCAACACCAGAATGTAGAATGTTTCAGACCTCATGTAGATCTGATGACATGCATAATAAGCAAATTGACCTGCAAAATCAATCATACTGACACTAGTTTCATTTTCCCTGGCAGCTAATATTTCTCGCATATCATCCTGTGTCAGTTGTAGATTATTTTCCACGTTTTCCCTGGCACCCAATTTTTCTCTCGTTTCATTATGCGTCTGTTGTTGATCATTTTCTCCCTTTTCCCTGGCACCCAATTTTTCTCTCCTTTCATTATGCGTCTGTTGTTGATCATTTTCTCCCTTTTCCCTGACACCAATTGTTTCTCTCGTTTCATCATGTGTCTGTGGTTGATCATTTTCTCCCTTTTTCCCAGCAGCAAATGTATCTCTTGTTTCATCATGTGTCTGTTGTTGATCATTTTCTCCCTTTTCCCCGACAGCCAATGTATCTCTCATTTCATCATGCGTCTGTTGCTGATCATTTTCTCCTTTTTTTCTGGCACCTAATCTTTTTCTCATTTTACCTCTCGACACTTGAAGATCATTTGCTTCATTTTCCCTGGCAACTGTTTTTCCCATGTCATCTCCCGTCACTTGTATATCATTTGCCCCATCTTCCTTGGTACTTGATACATCGAGAGGAGGATTTTGTGTCGTCAGTGGACTTGCTCCCTGTTCTTCTTTAGTCAACATAGCCTTTTGCAAATTTTCCAAACTTCCATTTTTTTCACTTCTTCTTTCTATCCCACTCTTTGATTTTTCTTCGCCAATTTGTTCGTTTCTCTTAAGTGCAGACAGTGGAACTCTGATCAGTCGTCTTTTAGAGACATCGTCGTCAGTTGCTGTAATGCAACAATGACATAAATGTGAATTCAAAACACAATTTTGTGTAAAAAAAAATCCTAATGATAAAGAGTAAGTTTAACTATTCTCCATATATCCAAGATTTAAATTTTACAATTTCGCCTACATATTTTTCCCAATGGAAACATTGTCTTGATTAGATTAATTACATTTACGGCTTATCATGACTGTACACTCGCTATCTGTAAACAGCACTATACTTAATTAAACTGTTCTATTACTTTTACATATTAATGTATTTTTAAATTATCCGATAAATTCCAGTCACAATCGCCGTTATGCTAAAGATAGAAATATGACAAAAAGAAGACAAGCAACCTGAGAGTATTGTAATACTGGTACTCGGCTTAGCCTGTTACAACGCAAATTGTTATATTAAACTGGGATTATCACATTTTGCGATTATTGTATAGACTGTTTATTGTTTTAACGTCCCTCTCGAGAGTTTTTCACTCATATGGAGACGTCAACGTGCCGCGATGAAGGGCTTCTAATTTTGACCTTTACTCGGCACTCAGGGCCATTGAGCAGTGAGGGATCTTTATCGTGCCAACGCCTGCCGCTGACACGGGGCCTCGGTTTTTAAGGTCTCATCCGAAGGACCCGCAACTTTCACTTCAAAGTGTCGAGCGCATGGCGAAGGAACAGTTGCTACCCATTTTTAATGACTAGGTCAGTCGCGACCGACTTACAAACTCACAACCTCTCGATCACGGAGCGAGCGCTCTACCGACTGAGCTACCGTGAACGGTCATTTTGCGATGAGATCAACAAAGTATGCAAGTCCACGTTTTCATGAATGTTGCAGAATACCTCCAAGGTCGACAAATAACCGAAGCCTTTATATTTCAAACAACATTTTTAGGCCGATTCATCTTGTTATTATTTCTTGACATCAGGGGTTATCTTGCATCATTCAGGAAAACATAGATTTTGTTTCTTAAATAAACAAAGGAACAAATAAAATTAACAGGTTAAGTTAAAGATAAACAAATCATCTTGCAAAACACACAATTTCATGCAAGCTAACTGAACATGCTGAAAGGCTGCTCAAGAGTAGCTGCCATTCAGTCGACTAAATAATAACTGAAAGTTCACGAAAAAATCAATCATTGACCTTTCAGTTACTGTCAATAAACACCCAGTTAATATTCCGTCTAATTAACTGTAAAATGTCAATCTGTGCGTTTTACTGTAAAACACTCTACCCCGGGTCATGCAACACACGAGAAAGCGATACACAGAAGTAAGATGTGTATGCTTTACACTCGACAGATAGATTGTAAATCTCTCATTAGCTTGAGGCTCACATACTAAGCTAAATTTCAGGGGCTTCTGGTCTGGAAAACAAATCTTTCCAATGACTTTTAAATACATGAGTTATCAGATAAGCACTTACCAACCAAATCTCCCTTTTCCACAGAAAATATGTGTTCGTAGACACAAAGTCCCCTCGTCGATTTTATTTCCTTTACTTCTTGAAGACTTTTACCCATTAGCCTGTATAATAGAGTCGTTTTCCCTACTCCAGCACACCCAATCACAACCCCTCGTGCATGACGTACGGTGGTCTTTCCTTTTTCCATGTATTCCATAAGTTTTTGAGGTGGTATCGGTTTACTTTTGAAGTTCATCAGCAGATCATCTAATAGAAAATGCCCATTGTGGTCACCAGAGGAGAGGCAGGTACGACATACAGGAATGTCACATGTCTCACAGTAAGTCTGACAAAATTTCAGTGAATGGTGTTGACATATGGATTCAGGATATTTTTTAGCAAGAATGTGACGTTTGTAAGGTACAATATTTTTTCTGTTGCATGAACGTAAGAGATGCTTCTCTATACATGCAATACACAGGTTTATTTGACAATCCTCACAATGAAACTTCAAGGGAGCAGTTTCACACAGATCACAGAGTAGGACCTCTAAGGCACTGGATCGGGGGTCCATGTCTAGATTTTAGTCGAACATTCAAATGATACTGTAAATAGATTTTAAAAATAATAAATACACATCTTATGCCTTGTACTTATATCAATTAATTAACTATCACCCTCTTTCCCATTTTAAATATCAAAACAAAGTATACACTTGGTGCTTTCATTTTCTATAATAAAATTTCGTATTGAGAATCCACATATTGAAAAAACAGGTTTGAAAAATAGCAATGTTCTTGAAATTTGCAAAAAAGATGCGTATTTGACTACCTTCTGCAAAGAATTACAATATGAGCACAGCCAACGATACAAACAAGAGGCCCATGGGCCTTATAGGTCACCTGAGCATTCTGCAACAACTTTCCAGTTATTGAATTTGATTCATGTTTTAAGCCAGATGCTATATGACATTCACAATTTTGAAAGATGCACCATTGAGCATCATAACAAAACACTTAGCAGTTGCTTAGCTTGGTTTATTGATTTGAAAATGTCCAATAAAAAGTTCATACGATCATCATGAACGTTTCATGAATAATTTTCATGAATAAAAAATTCATGAAAAATTCAAGGAAATTCATGAATTATTCATGATCACCTCACAGGGGTACTGAATACCCATAAACAAGGTAGGGGAACAAAAAAGCATTCCGACTAATCGCTATTATTCAGCAATAATCAGTAGTGCCCCTAACACTGTGAAATAAACCCCTGACCCTAGGTCCACGCATTGCACAGATTTTAAAAGGCACCCTTAAAATTGCCTATCAAAAAATAAATTAATGTTTTATAAATACAAAGGAGCAGATTTCAAACAATAAAAAAATTAATCCATTTTCAGTATATATTAAGTAGAGCCCATCCCCACCCCCAACACCTGGGGCCTTGAAATTCACAATTCTGCAAGATTAGGGCGCATGCTCATCATAACTATATAGGTACATGTAGTTCATCTGCTTCATACCCAGAGACAGAGAAGAAAATTTTCAACGATTTAATGTATTTTCACTGTATAATCAACAGAGCCCCCTCCCCACCCCCCAACACCAGAACCCCTGACCCTGGGACCACAAAATTCACAATTTTGGTAGAGGCACTCTTGCTCATCATAACTATGCACTTAGTTAGTTTATTTAATACCAAAGAGCAGAGCAGAAAATTTTCAAAGAATTCATGTATTTTCACTATGTAATCTATAGAGCCCCATCCTAACACCAGAAACCCTGACCCTGGGACCATAAAATTCATAATTTTGGTAAAAGCACTCTTGTTCATCTTAACTATGCACTAAGTTAGTTTATTTAATACCTAGGAGCAGAGAAGATTTTCAAAGTATTCATGTATTTTCACAATATAATCTATAGAGTTCCTCTCCCAACACCAGAACTCTTGACCCCCAGGGACCAAAAAATTCACAATTTTGGTAGAGGCAATCTTGCTTATTATAACTATGCACTTAGTTAGTTTATTTAATACCTAGGAGCACAGAAGAAGATTTTCAAAGACTTCATGAATTTTTAAAATATTATCTATAGAGCCCCTCCCCCAACACCAGAACCCTTGACCCTGGGACCATAAAATTCACAATTTTAGTAGAGGCACTCTTGCTCATCATACTTGTAACTATGCACTTAGTAAGTTTATTTAAAACCTAGGAGCATAGAAGAAGATTTTCAAAGAATGTGTGTATTTTCACTATATAATCAATAGCGCCCCTAAACACCAGAACTCTTGACCCTGGGGTCATAAAATTCACAATTTTGGTAGAGGCACTCTTGCTCATCATAACTATGCACTAAGTTAGTTTATTTAATACCAAGAAGCAGAGAAGATTTTCAAAGTATTCATGTATTTTCGATATTTAAACTATTAAGCCCCGCCCCCAACACCAGAACCCCTGACCATGGGACCATAAATTTCACAATTTTGGTAAAAGCACTCTTGCTCATCATAACTATGCACTAAGTTAGTTTATTTAATACCTAGGAGCAGAGAAGAAGAGTTTGAGCTAAAAATAAGAGTAGCGTGACCTTGACATATATGAAACAACGAAACCGTAGATACAACCTTTGTTTTTCCGGCACTTATATTGCCCTTGCAGAAATTATTCCTGACTTGAAAATGCTTCTCAGGAATTCCTAAGATGTCCTAAGAATTCCTAAGATTTCCTCACAATCTGATTTGAGGAAATCCTAGGAGTAAAAATCCTGGGATTTGATTTCAGGACATCCTAGGATCTCCCAGGACTTCTTTGTTAAACATTTCAAATCCAAATCTTGCCAGGACATTTCATTGTAAAGCCAGGAGTTAATCATTTTTATGATAATCCCATTTCCTAAGACTTTTGACTTAATGTTGGGACTTTTGTAAAAAAGACAAATTAAACTTTAGAAACTTGTACATGTTAATAAATGCTAAAACAGAATGACAGGAAATTTTATTACTTTTAAAGTTTTAATGTATAATATCAAGAAAATCATAAAATGAATAATTTTCAATCATTACATATTATACTTGATACATAGAAAGACACTGACCCTAGAACTATTTTTTTAATTAAATACTTTCTGAAATATTGATGCTGTCAGGGAGGAGTTATACATGTAATATGTTTTAAAGAAAAAATTGTTTACAGACAAACAATATTTCACCATTTTCAAATCACACATTTCTGAGTTGATTTTTATCCATTAGAATTAAATTCTATACTTAATCTTTAGATTGCTTCGTTCATGGGAAACGCGAGTGCAAGCATAGTTTTTTTTTCGAAAGCACTGGTCATACAAACTTGGCCATCTTGCAATACAACATCAAGTATTAATACAACTTTTTCTTTCTATGTAGAAGTAATATTTTCCAGAATGTTTCACTGAAAATAAAGTGTTCCTCTTAACTTAAAGTTGGTTTTCAAATGGCTTTGAATTCAGAAGACCATACATGCAGAAGGATGGAGTGGTAAATTTTCTTTATCTGTCAATTTAATTTTTTACTTCGCATTTCATTTCGACAAAATAAAACATATTTTCCTCAGAGCACGTTATAAGAAATGGCTCTCCTATACCGTCATCACCTGCATACAGGTTATATATCTCTCAGGTGGTTACCAAACTATCAGCTTCAAAGTCACATGCCTGGCTAGAAGTATCTTTTTTTTTTGTATCTTCTTCTTTATCAGTGTCATTTGGTTCATCAAACTGTCTTTGACTTTACTATCTTTAACATCTTCATCCAAATCTGTATGATTTTGCTGTATATTCACCCATAACTGCCAGAGATACTATACAAAAGAAAAGTAAATATTGAGTCATTGAAAGAAGAGTACACTAAACAAATTTAAATACTACATAAACAGCATACTCAAGAAGCATGACTTGGTCTGTGACATCATACTTTCGTCACTTTCTGACTTAAAAAGCTTGGTATTTCAAATTTTGTTGGGTAAGAATCGTGTTGTATTGAGTTTGAGAATATAATTCCTCATGTTGTTTTTGATATTGAGTATTGCTTTTATTTAACGAGGAAAATCTAAAATACGCAGTAAAACTAATAGAGTTTCCTGAAAATTTTATCCACATAAACAGAGATCAAAAAAAACTTTTCAAAGGTTTTGACCAAATTCGAGTCGTAACATAACTATTAAATACGATAAAAATGCACTTTCCCTATAGGTTTTATCGCCAGATATACTAATTTTCATTCATCACTTAGCAATAAGATACTTACAGACATCGTGACAGGCTTGTAGATGCGAAGAAAAGTCGTTGTTTACAGCACAATGTGACAACTTCACGATCCGCCATATTTGTGTTTGGACGGTTTCCATGCAAATTGTTCTTGGCCTAAATGTATCATCGTGGTTCTTCGAAAATATTTTCTTCTGTAACACTTTCTGTTAGTAGAATTGGTTGATCAAGGATATTTATATTTTATTTTTCTAATATGCGGGTCGTTTGTCACTGATAATAACTTAGGTGTTTTTTTTAAAAAGATTCTCGGGAAAATATCGGGATATTTCTTAAAGGTGTACAAAATACCCCTACACCGTGTCTGCAGCATTCTCTCGCGCGAACTTCCGAGAGGTGGTACAAAAAAGTTATCTTCGATCAATTAGTACCCGGTGTATAAAATATGTTTTACTGTCAACTCAGCTTTGAATATTAATTTGTCAGAAAATATTCGCTAAAATATATTTTCTTTTTGTAAAAAAAAAAAAAAAAAAAAAAACGTAAATTCACATTAATCACAAATTATTTTCAAGAATAAACAAACCGCATTTTCTTGGTATGGCACGAAATAACTTTACACCGTCCTGTATCATCCTCTCGCGAGACTTCATCGAGAAGCGCAAAATAGGAGTTCAAGGAGCGGCAATGTTTAGAGAGACTGGTGAAATGTAATGAAATGCACAACTTACGCCCAAGATTGACTCTAATTCTTCACATAAACCATGTTCTCTTTCCCAAAAATCTTGGTTTCGCTAGGAGTGCAGTAAAGGGAATGTTGGAAGAAGTGTAGATATCATGGCCACAGGCCAGTGGGGTAAGTGGCGAGTGGTTCCTTGTAATATGTATTTAAACACGCAAATATTGTTTAATAATTTAGTGCATGTGATGTGTTGTATAATATTTCAATATTGAAACAGAAGAAACGATTTGAATATGTGTAAAAGGTTTTTGGGCATACTGTGATTCAGTCTAGTCCATGAAGATCAAACGTACATACACAGTGAAATATTTCCAGGTTTTACATGTTAAAATTTAGTAAGCAGAAGACTTATAAACAAATATTTATTATCAGTTACTGTTAAATTTGCATTGAATGTTTTGACATGGTGTAAATTTTGAAATTATACTCTTAGATAAAGCCTTCATTGCATTGTTATCTTCTAGCTAGAACCTTGAAGCCTGGCAAGGATTATGAGACTGGAAACTCTCATTGAGACTACCAAATGAAGAGAAAGTTTCAGGTATCTTGTAATCTTTTTTAAAAATTTCTTTTGTAAACTTGAAAGAATAGACGGATTTCACATTCCTAAGGGTT